TTTTGGAAAGACAACTGGTAATAATCCTAAAAAGATCACGACCTGAGCCAGTGCCATCACCTTTTCAGTTGACTTCAACAGAAAGCCCCCCTGTTGCTCTAGATCAGGTCCTACCTATTTACCGGGCACCAAGGGACCAGGCAAAAAGATCAGATGCTTTGCCATCGCACCTGCTGTCGGGTTGGACCTTGTAACTCTCTTGATCCCACAACGCTTATTCGATTTAGCGGTCTCCTCCTTCAGGGCAGGGAGGTCATTTCGGGAAGGCTGCAGGAGGGAGCCCTAACTCCAAGTGATTACTGCAAAGCCAAATTTAACCAATAATATAAAGAACATGCAGAAATAGAGAGCATTGCAGAATGAAATTCTACTTAAAACACTATCATTTTTATTAATATCTAAATAAGAAGAGCCTTGGGTATAGCCAAAAATAGATTAACAAAGACCTTGATCCCACACAAATTGGCTGTGAGTAATTTTACACAGGAAAGTAGAACACCAGTTGAGCTGCTCCCCTGCTTAGAATTATACATGTACATTTTTTTGCCAGTGTCCCAGCCTTGAGAAGCCTACAATTCATTATTGGAAACCTAAAGCAGCAAGGGAATCTCCCTTTACTACCTAGAAAGCACGCTTTTTATTAAAGAAAAGGAGAGAGAGAGAGAACACGCACCTCCGATAGCACAACAAAAAATCATTTCTGAAATTTGATTTCCATTCATTTTTTTCTTATATAAGACCAGCCGAAATATATTTAGTGTGTCTGATTAAAGTATTTACTACAAGGCTTCCCGAAAGCTTTAAAATATCAAAACTTGATCATCAAAATAAGCACTTCTGTGCAGTAATTTCTTCTAAATAAAGTGAACCATAACCATCTAATACAGCTGTTTCTTTCCCTTCAAAACTCCCTGAGTCACGTTCAACTGCACGCAGGCTGAAATATGAAATACGTCCTACTATTGTCATAATTATTATTTTCTTGTCCTGTGCAGGAATAGATGCAGTCAATGATTTTGTCAACTATACATTTGTAAGAGGGGAAAAAAAAAAAATGTTTTTCATTTGGTATTTTGCTAAGCCTGAAAACAGAGGATGCGCAACATCCTCATCTGATCGTGAGGAGCAACATCTGGTACCAGGCATGCCTGTGGGCCCAATCCTGCGTACAGGTTACTTTTCTCACCCAGTGCACTGGGCCGAGTTACCCACACAAATCGTAGAATTGCTTTCAGGACGGTCAGTAGTCATCTCTTCGGTTTTGTTGTACCTGTTTTCTTTCTTTTTTAAAGAGGTATCCAGCAACCTAAAAAAATATAGTAAACTATTTTAAATAATCTGAGGGAGAAGTATTTTTTCTGACCGTTGTCAAGGCGGCTACTTTTTATCGTGCCGCGTGTATGGCATCCCGGGAGGCACGGTACGGGAGATTTTCTATACCAGGAGTCATTATCGCCTCCTCAGAAAGTGAAATGCAGGTGAACAGCAAACCTGCGAGAGCCTAAGTGCACTTCTTCCACCTCGCTCTGAAGAGGGGGGAATGGATTTGGTACAGGCCAAAACACAGGCATACTAATGCTGGCTGCCTTGCTGCTTCTCGGTGGAAGGAGGGAGCAAATCACACTGTATTCTCCTTTTCAGTCATTAGCAGGCTGTTCAGAATCTCTGCCTGGTGCTTATTATTTATTCTAAACAGAAATAAAGTAAAATAAAAATAAATAACAGCACGAGGACAAGCTATGCACAGCACATTTTCTCTTTCAAAATAATATTACCTTTCAAGTCCACCGTAACCTTGGAAAAGAATCGCTCAATGTAAGCCAATGCTACGAAACTAATCACAATCCATTCCTCCCCCGCTTTTTAATAGCTCTTATAGGAAATATGGGTACAGTTAATAGACGAGTTAAGAACAGCTCGCCTCCAATACAGAATCTGAACTGCGACTGTAAGTCTTGCATCTTTTAATGATGGATTGGTTATTTGCCTCACACGAATTACTTTGCATAACAGAGCTGGCCCTCATTGAATTCATCAGACGTAAAGACCATAACACGTTCCCAGAAAGTATCAAACCTGTCAAATGCCCAATCAAATG